ACACTCAAAGGTATGATCCGGGATGAGGCTACAGAGTAATATCCTCGGTTGGTAGAATAAAGCTACGCGCGAACGTCGCCGTCGTCACTATTGACAGCGCTTGAAAGAGCACGACAATGTCATATCAATGCTCCCGAACAAGCCTCGGCCTAATGTTATTTGGAGGGTTGCGGGACGACCGCATCGGCCGCTTCCCTATGCTGATATCTTCTGTAAGCTCTCCACGAGGTTGTTAAGCAGACTTTATTAGCTTACGTTTCAGCGGGGTCGCCTCTTTCAGTGCCTAAAAGGAGAGCCTACAGAATATATCAGCCATCAATATATCATGCCGAAATTCCTGCAAAGTCGTACATCGGCTTCCCTGTGTTTTCTCCCATGGTGTGCTTTCTCACGTTTTCTGCCTTCTCTGCTCGCTGTGACTATACCGTACCATATCCGATTCACATGAAGTTTAGTGTCTTACCATTAATTTTACGCTTTTGATGGCTCCGTTTGCTTCCCTTTTATTCTCAGCTCACTCGTCATGCCCACATCATCATTGACCGTTCTTACGCAGCAGTTTTATCCCGAGGCTTGGCTCAATGTTGGTGGCATGAGAGAACTACTTTCGTCATTTAAAAAAAATGTGTGCAAAAGTTCTTCTTTTCCATTGAAATACAAAAACGCCAAACATTCGCATCTAGAAGACTATTTATTTCAGTAGAGAACTAAGTGTATTACTAACAGATTCAGGTAATACTTAAAATCAGACGGCGCTCCAATCAGTTGTTGTTCTTCTTGTTCCTGCGCTCTCGTGATCGTCTTTGAATAGTGGTACCACGAGCTCTGGCTTTCTTCGGTGCTGTTCGTTTGTTCTTTCTGTTTACATTAGCAGGTTCGCCGTAACTCTGAGAAGTACCCACATGACCTTCCGGAGCAGTTGAAGGAGCTTGAACCTTATCGCTTGGGCCAACTTTCCAGGCATCAACCCTTTCAAATATTGTCCTAGTGTTGCCTATTTGTTCCTCCTTTACTTTTACCTCAACGTTTGCTTCCTCGTCCGCAACTGATGCCTCAACCCTTGTTTCAGTGTTTTGAGACTTATCAGGCGCAGTTACTGACACTAATTCAGCAGCACTGGAACCAGCACCCGAGTTCTTCTCCACTGCTATTGCTTCAGTGCTACCTCCATGTGATGTTCCTTCCGATTCTGTATCGCTGACCTTGATTCCAACAGTTAATGATGATCGCGCTCCTTCAGTCCCAGTAACTGAAGAGGATACTGATGCTTCTGGAGATAGCTTAGAGGAACCAGATGTGGCTAAAGATGCTGCTGCTCCTCCAGAGTGTGGTTCTTCAGCTCCACCAGATGCTACTTCTTTTCCAAAAGCCGAAGCAGTTCCGCTGGCATTATCGCCAGCGTAGCCAGATTGGTGAGACTCTGTAGCGCCAGCTCTAGGAGGACATGGGCAATACGCTGCATCTTGTCCCGGTTCACCATCTGCTCCTGAGACTCCTGGAGCTCCAGGTGGACCAGGTGCGCCGTCCTTTCCTGGGGGCCCAGGTGGGCCAGGTGGACCGGGCTCGGAAGGAGCTTGGACGTAAGCATCACCATCTGGAATGCAAGTAGGATTAGTAAGTTTGGAACTCGAGTGGTACAAATGCAATGTTCTTGAGTGGTCAACTGACCTGTTCCTGAGCCTCCAGGTGGGCCTGGCGGACCGGCTGGTCCTGGGGGTCCTTTCAGGTGTCTCTTTCCATCTGCGCCAGGTTTTCCGTCGGCTCCGTTCTGACCTGGTGCTCCATCGGGTCCGGGTGAACCAGGAGGTCCTGGTGGTCCTGCTGTTCCAACTGCCCCTGCTGATCCCGAATCACCGTCAGCGCCGGGGTTTCCAGCGGGACCTGGTGGACCATCGGGTCCGGGTGAACCTGGCTCTCCGGCAGGGCACTGAATTATTAGTTTGCAGTCTCTTCATATATTTGAGTATATTTCTAGTGACTCTCACTTGGACACATTCTTTTGGAGCAGCATTATAGCCCATTTCATTCCCATCCAGTCCTGGGTGACCGTCCTGTCCGGGTAGGCCATTCTCTGCAGGAAAGTCATACTTCGAAGTTTTGGAATAGGTAAAATGATCAAACTGCTTACCTCCCGGAGTTCCGGCTTCGCCAGGAGGTCCAGGTGGACCCGGAGGACATGCTGAAATTTAGTTTGAATTATCGGTGTGATCAATCCAAATTTCACTTATATGGACCGTGCCCACAACGCATGTCAGCCTGCATTCCAAACTTGCGATTGGTAATCGCAGACATATCGCGAAATTAATCAATCACAAGCGTCCTCATATGCACAACATGTCGTCAGTCTCATCAGCCGCTCTAGTTAAAGCGTATTTCATTATAAAAACAGAACAAGAAGTCAAGGTAGAGGTGGTCTGTAATGCAGTGATGAAGAAAGACAAGAGAAACGGCCTACAACCCGGGAATTAGAATCCCTGGTACGAGGGTATGCCCCTGCTAGGGGGCATACCCTTCGCTGCGAAACCAGTCTCGTCACCCTCCCTTAGGAAGCTTGCCTACCTTTCCCTTAGGCATGTTTCCTTCTTCGACCTCCTCCTTGTCGTAGAATCCCCTCTTAAGTGTTGCCCTAATTTGAACTCACCGTCGGAAATGCTTGCGCCTGCACCGCTGATTGCTGGGCCAGTGGAGTATGCTTGGGATCCTGAATATCACTAGTTCTAGAAAACTGAAAAGCGTAGGCAGTAAAGTCAAACAACTGACCTGTTTTCACGGTTTTTGCCCCTCTTTGGCGATTACGACGATTAGTTTCGTGTTGCACCGAACGCGCAGAACGCTGCAGATCGTCAGACACTATCTTTTGCCATACATCATTCGACTCTACCTGAATAATTCCTTTTTATTAGAAAGCCGGTCAAATGTGGACATAGAGAATGCGTATCTCGTGCAAAGCTTCATGCTTTCGTAGTCAACATATCCATGGGTCAAGGAGATCCGATCTCAGATCGTGTCGTCACTGCTAAGTATGTACCTTGCCTAGTAGACGTGACAAATACACGGTGCGTCCCGCGAACAACAACTTTC